GTTTCAGATGTTAAAAGGGGATATTTCTGGGTATTTACCATAAAAGTAGATAACTAATAGGGAGTTGAGCAGGAAATAAGCATCAGTAAATACAAATGTGACAGGCAAAAGAGAAAGTTGTGGAATGTGTAGAAGTGACGAGAGAAGATGGGGTAGAATTCTTGATTCTACATTTAAACATACATTGTTTTATTCTCAGTGCTTAGAATAAGTATAGGATTTTTTTTTTTCTCATTCTCTCAGGCTTCTGAATTTTTCTCATTTCATTTTTATTTTTAAATTTTTTCTATCTCAATCTCTCTAATTCTACTGTTAGCATTAAGGAGTTTGCTAAAGACCTGAATGTTAGGGTTGGGAAGGTAAGGGATATGAGGAAGACTGGGTAAGGGATGAGGATCTGAAGTTTGCAGTTTCTTAAAGGGCTGACAAGGGAAAGTGACTGAGTAAATTGGGTCCCTCTCCAGAACAAGGTATGTTTGTGCTCTGGTTCCCTCCATTTCCCTTTGCTTGCCTCACTGTGTTTACCCAGCTACATCCTGCTTTGTGTTAATCCTCATCTCTATGTTTTTTTGTCTTGTCTCATTATAAGGATTCATCAAACGTGAGGAAGCCTTTGGAAACCAGGCACCGTTGTTCCAGCTCCTCTTCCCTCCCTGTCATCCATGACCCTTCTGTGTTTCTCCTCGGTCCCCAACTCTACCCCCCCCAACCACAGTTCCTGTCCCCAGATGTCCTGATGCCCAGCGTGGCAGGGGAGCCCCATAGACTCCCAGGTAACTCGCCCAAATCTAATATTATGTGCCAGAATTTGGTACCTTTTCAAGGGCTTCTAAGGGTCAAATCAGTATACCTACAGGGAGGGGTTATATCCCAAGGTGGAGGGGTATGAGGATATGAATTACTGCTTCAAAGTCATGCTCTGATCTAGATAAATATTAAATCATTTGTTGAGCACTATGGTTCTTAGACCAAGAGTCTAGACCACCACCCCTGGAGTCTATCTACTTATGAGAATGAACTGCTTCACTCATGATAGAACAGTTAACTCCCCTTTTAACTCACAAAGGGGAGTTAATACCCAGTCTTTGAGACACTCCCAGAACAGAAATGGTAATCTTTATCAGCTAGTTTTCTCTCCTTCTATCCTCTGAGTCTCAGCTGAGGGATGGTCTAGGAGGACAGGGAATGAGTGGGAGAACTGGAAAGACCCTTTACATGAATTACCCACACTGTGCGTACAGACCCAGACAATTGTGGAGAAGGTGGGCAGCATCATTCTGGCTTTCTTTGACCCTCCACAGCTAGATGCCGTCTTTTTTCCCCCTCACAGGCTGGATGTACAAGCTTGAGGCAGTGGTTCTCAATGGAGAACGGGGAGGTACTACCGGTATCTAGAGGGTAGAGGCCAGGGATGCTGCTAAACATCACACAATGCACAGAGCAGTCTCTCCCCAACCCCAACACAGAATTATCAGCCCAAGATATCAATAGTGCCCAAGTTGAGTAAATGTATAAGAAAAGGCATTTCACATTAGATCTCAGAGATCAAACAAAGGCTTAACTGAAGATAACATTTTTTTTTTTTTTGAGACGGAGTCTTGCTCTGTCACCAGGCTGGAGTACAGTGGCACAATCTAGGCTCACTGCAACCTCTGCCTCCTGGGTTAAAGTGATTCTTCCGCCTCAGCCTCCCAGGTAGCTGGGACCACAGGCATGTGCCACCACGCCCTGCTAATTTTTGTATTTTTAGTAGAGACGGGGTTTCACCATGTTGGCCAGCATGGTCTCGATCTCTTGACCTCGTGATCCACCCGCCTCAGCCTCCCAGAATGCTGGAATTACAGCCGCACCAAGATAACATTTTTTGTTTGTTTTTGTTTTTGTTCAAGATAACATTTTAAGAAAGGTTGGAAAAAACAAGGCATAGAGTCTCACACCTGTAATCTCAGCACATTGGGGGGCCAAGGTGGGAGGACTGCTTGAGCCCAGGAGTTCCAGACCAGCTTGGGCAACATAGTGAGATCCCATCTCTATTTTTTAAAAAAAAGAAAAGCTGAGTGAGGTTTTGGTATGGTGGCTCTAGAAGTATAGTCATCACAAAGGGAGTATACGGCCCTTCTTTATATGTGTGTATGTACTGGATGAGAGATTATAGTGGAGGGAGGTAGAGGTATGGCAACATCCATGAGACTGTTTCATTTGCCCAGGTTGGAGGTATGAGATTTGATTTTGATGAATATTAAGAATTTTAAAAAATAGAATCAAAAGCACAGTTAGGTTCTTTCTTTCCCTTGTGTGTATGCTCTTGGAGGAGTGAGGAATTGGGCTGAACAGCTAGGCATGGCTCTCTGGGAAGGAGAATGGTTTTTTGAAGAGTCTTTGGGTTTCTTTTCTTTCCCCAGGAACTTCGAGGAGTATCCAGCAGTTTCTGGCTATGTGTGACAGGGGTGAAACTTCCCAAGGGGTCAAGTACACAGGAAGGACTTTGAACTACCAGAGCCTCCCACATCGTTCCAGAACAGACACCTCCTGGGCACCCTGGTCAGAGACCAACCAGCATATTGGGACCAGATTCCTGACTACTCCAGGGTTCAGTCCTCCGCTAACCTACACTGCCACACTACCAGAAAGAAGCAAGGGCCTTCAGGTTCCTCACGCTCAGTCCTGGGGGGATCTTTTCCATTCACCCTCCCACTCTCCCATTGTTCATCCTATATACCCACCATCCAGCAGTCCCCATGTACCCCTAAGGTCAGCTTGGAATTTAGATCCTGTTCCAGGGTCCCGAACCCCTGGTCCTCGAAGAGTAGATATGCCCCCAGATGATGACTGGAGGCAAAGCAGTTATGCCTCCCAGCCTGGACACAGGAGGACAGTGGGAGAGGGGTTTCTGTTTATTCTATCAGATGCCCCTGGAAGAGAGCAGCTCAGGGCTAGAGTCCTGCAGCACAGTCGATGGTAAAGGTCATCCTTTCCTTTCCTGGAGCTACACCTTTCTCTATAAAACTGTACTGTGGCAGTGCTGGTACCCTGCATCACTGCCATGGTTGTGCTATTCTCATATCAACACGGAATTGGTGGGTTCTCCTAGGGGTGTCAGGAATCTCTAAAAAGACCGGATTCTTTGGGAGGGGATATTTGAAATTCCAACTTCCATTCCCCCTAGCAAAAGGAAGCAGCTGCTGTTTAAGCGTTTTATCTGAGCCACTTTAAAAATGAATCCATGGTATTACTCTGGATACTAGCCATTCCTTAGGATCTTAAGGTCACATTTTATTCCTGGATGCTTTATGTCCCCACCTCCACCTGAGCCCTCATCTTCTGTTCCCTACTATATTCCCAACTTCTACTCTTTGTTTTATCCACCTATCCCTAATACCTGACCCATTGTCTTCCCTATTTCTCATCCTTGGAGGGACATGTATCCCTGTGGTCATAGTTCTGATTGCATCATCAGGGCATCCCCCCTGCCCAGGTATTATGGCCCGTCAGCATTAAGTGTGCCCTCCAAACCTTAGGCCTAGAACATGGAGCTGCCAACATAACATTAACCCTCTTGAACAGATGGGAGTCAGGCACACTAACACAGCCTTCTGTCCTCAGCAGCACAGCCATTACTGCCACTTGCTCAGTCGCTGTTGTAAACCCTCAGAGTCAGCTGAACTATTTTAGGCCAAACATACTGTTTTTGTAAAGTATTTTTCATTAATAAATCTATAAGATAGTTCTATTTAATTACTTGTCATTCTTCCCTTTGTATGCTCTTGCTTTTTCGTATTGGGGTGGGGAGGCCTGGACAAATACATGAGGTGGCTTTTGACTGAGTGGAAGTGAGGAGCCAGAGAGGAGTTGAAGGATATACAGTCAAGGTGGGAATCAATGGGCCCTAAAATAAGGTGCCTTTCCTTGTTACTATTGCTGCTAGGATGTTTCCCATCCCTTTCCTGACAGAGTATTCAGTACTCAGTACATTATACACTTCCTTCCTTCCTCCCCTCCTTAGGGAGATTTTCTGGGGATTCAAGCTCTTACAAAGTTACTCCTGATCCATGTATTCTGGGTGTCTTCCCTCTATCTTATAAGTTTGTGATGTGCCTCCTGTCCCTTCCTTGCTCTCCTTCCATGGGGCCCTCTTTTCCTTTCCCCTGTGGTGTTATGGCCCTTCCATGCCAGAAAGATCCATTTTCACCCATGCCTCACTCCCAAGAGACTCTTCCCTCTAAAAAATAGCTTGCGGGCTCCCTTTTTGGAAAATACCCATTGTTGGCCTTTCCCTTCCTCTTTTACCTTGGGTCTCAGGATTGAAATGGACACAAAGAAGAGGTAGAAAGGTACTCTTTGAGACCTTTGGACTACTATTTACTTATCACCATCCATTATGAACAGATTTCGAGCACATGTGTTTTTAAGCAGGAGGATGGACAGGAATTTTTTGTTCCATCCCACTTGGATCCTGCACCATCAAGATACATAGAGCTTAGTGAATATGCTGGTCCCTGTCCATGATTCAACATATCTTCTGGTGTCATGGACACACTTCATCTAATAATTTTTGATGAACAGTCAGTTCTTGTCCCTCTACCCCCCTTCCCATGAATATCAGTCACCTTTGTCTCTATAAAGATTCCCTAAATCACCTGGACCCAGATTCTGTGCATGCACAGAAATAAGGATTTAATTTCCAATTCCGTATTTACCACTCTGCCTTCCAGGAGGAGGCTGTGTCCTTTTCAGGTGAATTCTTTCAATTCTTTGCACATCTCTTGGTGTCATTCCCTTTCTTCCCCTTACCTGTTTTCACAAAACTGTGGAGCCTTAACTGCTCCAGCTGCATTCTTATTCTGTGCTTTCAGACTCTTGACAATTCCAGACTCTAAACAAAGGCCAGAATTCCCTTTCAAACTCCATTTTGGATGATCCCTTCTCCGCTCTAGAACCTACAATGCTTCCTGTATTCTCTGGTGCCCTGCCAACCCTTCAATACTCATCTGGTAGCTAAATCGTTATACATTTGTTTCTCTATTAGTAGGAGATCCTGAGGTTTAATCACGTTTTCTCAGTTTACTGGGATTGCCATGAGAGCGGGTGTGTTTCCCTGCAGTCGTTCTTCACACCTAGCTACAGATTTGCCCCATCTCATTCTTGTTTCTGCATGCAAAGAATTTTAACCTGATCCCTTGGCCTTGTCCGGTTTATCTCCTAGCCTCAGTAATTTTGCTCGAGTCCCTAGAGCCTACCCCGCCCCCACCCCCGCACGCGCAGTGCATGCCGGTCTTAGCCCCTCCGTAGGGAAAGAGGGTCCGCCATGTTCCCCGGCGGCGCCGCCGCTTGGCTCTGGTAGCCGCCGCCCCCGCCCCCAACCCCGCCCGGCCCAGAGCCTAGCCGAGCCCCGGGCCCAGCATGGCCGCCCCGGAGCCGGCCAGGGCTGCACCGCCCCCGCCCCCGCCCCCGCCGCCCCCTCCTGGGGCTGACCGCGTCGTCAAAGGTGAGAGGTGGACGAAGCCCTGGGGGCCTGGCCTGAGGAACTAGCTGTGTGTGAGGGCGGGCGGGAGACCGTCCCCTCGGGAGTGGGCCCGGAAGGGCGGGCGAGTGACTGGCTGCCTCCCTTGGGGAGTGGCCCCTGGGCGGGCCCCTGCTGGGCAGGGCTGAGTCGGTGGCGGTGGCTCCGCGGTCTCCCGCTTGCTTTCAGGCCGGGTTGGAGGTTTTGCTCCCGTGGCTTCCTAGTCCAAGGGGTGAGGCTGCTAGCTACAGCTCTTGAGCCCCTTTTCTCCCCACTCGGCCTGTCAGAGCGGCGCAGGGGCCGCGATTAGCTTCCTGCCCCGCGACAGCTGCACTTCTGGCTTGCCGGAGCGAACAGAGGGGCTCGGAGACCTTCAGCCGCGCGAGGCTCGCCAGTGAGCAGTCAGAAATCACCTCGGCTTTGGCCCACGCCTGCTCCCCGGTGACAGAAGTCCGCCCTATCCGCGCCTAGCTAGCGCCAGCCGCAGGGATTCACTTTTGGCCGTCAGGTGCCACCCGGCGCAGAAATTCGGGGAATCTTGTGGGATTGGACCACGGTAAAGGGTCGGGGTAGGAATTGGGAGGCCAGCCTTTATAGTGCAGAAAGGGAGAAAAAGCAGCATAAACGAAAAAAAAAAAAAAAAAATCCTTGTGGATATTAAGTATTTACTTAGAAAACCATCAATCCGTTGATCAAAAGGGGTTACCCCTCCCCTACAAACACACGCACACACTCAACCTAGACGAAAAAGTTAAATGTTTCTCAGCCAGGGTAGAATTTATGGATGTTTACCCACAACAGCAGATTAATTTAAAATAGAGAAATTAAGGTCTAATTGAGAGTTGCTTAGGATTCCAAGCTCCCTGGGAGAGCCTACCAACCTCAAACATTTGCTGTGGAGGTGAAAAACAATTGAAATGATTCTCTTTACGATGTAGCTTGATTGATATTTGAAATCGTAGAATAAACTTTTCCTTATTTGTATTGTATTTATTTTTAAAATATAGGTACTTTTATTTTCATTCAGCTTCTCAAATACTCTGGCACAGTATTTAAACAGCCTACTTTTTGAAATCTGACTCATGTTTCCATTAAAATGTTTAAAAACAAGAAAAAATTTTTTTTAAATAAAAAATTTTAAGCCGGAGCCGCCTTTGGTTCTTAAAAGAATAATAACTGATTTGGCCCAGCGTGGTGGCTCACACCTGTAATCCCAGCACTTTGAGAGGCCGAGGCAGGCAATCGTTTGAGCTCAGGAGTTGGAGACCAGCTTGGGCAACATGGCGAAACCTTGTCTCTACTAAAAAACAAAAAATAAAAATTAGCTGGGCATGGTGGCACGCCCCGGTAGTCGCAGCTGCGCTGGAGGCTGAGGCACGAGAATCTCTTGAGCCTGAGAGGCTGACGTTGTAGTGAGGCGAGATTGTGCCACTGGGCGACAGAGCCAGACCCTGTCTCCAAAAAAAAAAAAAAAAAAAAAACCCAAAATACTGCTTAGCACCTAGGCCTAAGTGAATTGTTTTTAAAGTTAGTAATATATCCATTTGGGCCAGGCATTGGAATGAACTGCAGAAACAGTTTATGGAATTCTTATACAGATAAATCTTAAAAATAAAATTAAAAAAATAGTAATGCAGGCATTCATTCTATCAAGAAATCCTGAAGCTTTATGGGGGTGGGAACGGGGACATTGGCTACCTCTTCATTTTCTGACTATAGTTCTGTGTTGTGTGTTCATTTCTCCGGGCACTTTTCACCAGACTGTTAGATGGGATAACCAATCACATTCCTGAACAATGAGTTTATGCTATCCTTATGCTTATGAATCTTCTTATTCCTCGTCATATATATGGTAATGTTTTTTCTGTACTGCTTTAATGCAGTAAAAATAAGATTCCAAACATAAGGCAGTTTCCTTAGGGGTGAGTTTTGAGTCCAAGGCAGTCATATTTGCAGATTACTGGTGTGGAATAAAAGCCATTTGAATTAGATAAATAGGAAAGGAGCTTGTTAATATAGAAAATTATAGTTAAATAAAGCTCAGGGTTATCATATCTCTTGTGCTTCATTGTGCCCTCTTCATAGAGACCACTTTCATTTTTATGGAATTTGTTAACCAGTTGGAATACCTCTATAGATCCTATGTTTAAAAATGATGTGTGACAGACTAGTTTGCATTGCTCATGGAGAGTCCTGCATTTACTGGGAAATTTACCTTTCATGCAGATCCAGAAATCCACTTTTAAATTTCATCTTCAGGATTCTTCCTTGCCTTTTATTCAGCAATTATACTATAATGTGATACCCAATGTTAGAGAATACTGGTTGCCTGAAGATAAAACATGACTGTGTGAGTTCAATTTAAGTTTAATTTATTAAAATCTAAATTTCTTTTAAGTCCAGAATGTGCTGGTAGTTTTGTATCCATACATTTTCATAATAGTGATATTATGGAGACCATAGGTTGGCATTGAATGCAAGTAGTCTTTTTCTCCCTGGAACAACAACTTTTTTTTTTTTTTTTTTTTTTTTTTTTTTTGAGATGGAGTTTCACTATTGTTGCCCAAGCTGGAGTGCAATGGCATGATCTGGGCTCATTGCAACCTCCGTCTTCTGGGTTCAAGCAAGTCTACATACTGCCTCAGCCTCCTGAGTAGCTGCCATTACAGGCACGCACCACCACACCCAGCTGATTTTTTGTATTTTTAGTAGAAATGAGGTATCACCATGTTAGCCAGGCTGGTCTCGAACTCCTGACCTCAGGTGGTCGGCCTGCCTCGGCCTCCCAAAGTGCTGGGATTACAGGCGTGAGCCACTGTTCCTGGCCTGTCTCCCTGGAACTTGTTATGTCTAAATTTTTTTTAAATTGTACTTTAAGTTCTGGGGTACGTGTGCAGAACATGCAGGTTTGTTACATAGGTATACATGTGCTGTGGTGGTTGGCTGCATCCATCACCCTGTCATCTACATTTGGTATTTCTCCTAATGCTATCCCTCTCCTAGTCTCGTACCCGTCATGTGTCTAAATTTTATGCTCTGTGTTTCTAGTCATAAGTCCTACATTTTATGGTCATGTAGGTTTTCAAGTGTGTATAGGTCTTTCCATGTAATAGATAAGATACCTGAAATTCACTTTTTGTGAAGTTTCAGAGCTCACAATACTATAGGTGATTTATGTGTAAATGTGATGAGCTTGTCACTAAAATTATTAGTGGTAATTTCATGTAATTGATTATGGGTGGTTAGGGTTTTTGGTTGATTAAATTCAGTTCTGAGCATGCTCCAGCTGCTGGCTCAGGTAAAATTCTTCCTCTGTTTGAAAGTTGATGTGGCCTGGTGTGGTGACTCACTCCTGTAATCCCAGCACTTTGGGAGGCCGAGGTGGGTGGATCACAATTTCAGGAGTTTGAGACCAGCCTGATCAACATGATGACAACTTGTCTCTACTAAAAATGCGAAAATTAGCCAGGCATGGTGGCACATGCCTGTAATCCTAGCTACTCATGAGACTGAGGCAGGAGAATCGCTTGAACCTGGGAGGCGGAGGTTGCAGTGAACTGAGATCGCACCACTGCACTCCAGCCTGGGTGACAGAGCAAGATTCCATCTCAAAAAAAAGAAAAGAAAGTTGATGTAACTCAACTGATTAAGTGAGGTGATATATACCTTTTTAATTATAGTCTGTTAAGCATTCTTTTTTTTTTTTTTTTTTTTTTTTTTTTAGACGGAGTTTCGCTCTTGTTACCCAGGCTGGAGTGCAATGGCGCGATCTTGGCTCACCACAACCTCTGCCTCCTGGGTTCAAGCAATTCTCCTGCCTCAGCCTCCCTAGTAGCTGGGACTACAGGCGTGCGCCACCCAGCCGCCCAGCTAATTTTTGTATTTTTAGTAGAGACGGGGTTTCACCATGTTGACCAGGATGGTCTCGATTTCTTGACCTTGTGATCCACCCGCCTCGGCCTCCCAAAGTGCTGGGATTACAGGCGTGAGCCACCGCGCCCGGCCAAGCATTCTTTAGCTATGTTGGAAGTAAGAAAAAGGAAACAAATTAGGAAAAACATTTAATCATCTGCTTGTGTGTCTTTCTACCACATCAGCATAGGTATACATAATTAAAGCACAAAACCCTGAATTTTTATATATTGCTTTTCTTCTTCCCCACAAAGTTTACTTGATCAGATACCTCCTTTTTTCCCCAGATACTTAAAAAAAATGTACTTTTTGCTTTGTATACCAGGTTCTGGATTTGTAAAGCTGGATTGTCTCTTGAGATTATCAAGCCTGTTAGTATTAATAGAAAAAAATCACCTTTTTACTTAGAGAGCATTATCAATATTGAGTATATGTTCATTTTAGCACCTACAGTGTGACTCATTTTCTTAACATTGTTTTATTTCCTGGGTTATATTAACCTCAAATTGCCGGGTGCGGTGGCTCAAGCCTGTAATCCCAGCACTTTGGGAGGCCGAGGCGGGTGGATCACAAGGTCGAGAGATCGAGACCATCCTGGTCAACATGGTGAAACCCCGTCTCTGCTAAAAGTGCAAAAAATTAGCTGGGCATGGTGGCACGTGCCTGTAATCCCAGCTACTCAGGAGGCTGAGGCAGGAGAATTGCCTGAGCCCAGGAGGCGGAGGTTGCAGTGAGCCGAGATCGCGCCATTGCACTCCAGCCTGGGTAACAAGGGTGAAACTCCGTCTCAAAAAAAAAAAAATATTAACCTCAAATTATCAGACTTTCAGATTGAACCAAAAAGCTAAAGTTTGTGTGTTTTACTTTTTTTTTTTTAAGCTAAAGTATTTCTGATTGGCAACCTTAGGATTCATGTAGATTCTGTTGCCAGTTGCCCTGCTTATAAATCTGAAGTCATTTGGCAATAGTATTTTCCAGTACCTTTTTTTTTTTTTTACTTAAAAATGAGTCGGAGTTTAACCCTTCTTGCCCAGGCTGGAGTGCAATGGTGGGATCTTGATTCCCCGCAACTTCTGCCTCCCAGGTTGACGTGATTCTCCTGCCTCAGCCTCCCTAATAGCTGGGATTACAGGCATACACCACCACACCCAGCTAATTTTCTGTTTTTAGTAGAGAGGGGATTTCTCCATTTTGGTCAGGCTGGTCTCAAACTCCTGACCTCAGGTGATCCACCCGCCTCAGCCTCCCAAAGTGCTGGGATTACAGGCATGAGCCACCGCACCTGGTCAGATTACTTATTTTCCTTATAGATTTTCAGATAACCCATATAGCCTTGGTGTGACATAGGTCTTGCTTCAGTGATTCTTGCTAGGTCTATTTCATTATATTTTAAAGCGGCTTGAATGTGACATAGCCTTGCTTCAGTGATTCTTGCTAGGTCTATTTCATTATATTTTAAAGCAGCTTGAATGTTAATTTTTGTTTACAAAGTCTACTTTGTGGACTTATCTATGTAAAAAGATAACTCCTGGAAATCATTTTTCTTTTACTTTCCACTCCCATTACTGTTAACCATACTAAAATAAATCTTCAGGCCAGGTGCAGTGGTTCATGCTTGTAATCCCAGCACTTTCGGAGGCCAAGGTGGGAGAATCACTTGAGGTCAGGAGTTAGAGACCAGCCTGGCCAACATGATGAAACCCCATCTCTACTAAAAATACAAAAATTAGCTGGGCGTGGTGGCATGTGCCTGTAATCTCAGCTACTCAGGAGGTTAAAGCAGGAGAATCACTTGAACCTGGGAAGTGGAGGCTGCAGTGAGCTGAAATTGTGCCACTGCACCCCAGCCTGGGTGACAGAGCAGCATTCCATCTCAAAAAATAAAAATC